GTAGTTCTTAGTGCGTTGGGAGGTAATGAGGATATAATTTTCAACATGGTGGGAAATCCTCAGAGGCTTTTGAACAAAGAATTGTATAATCAAGATAGCTTGCCTGAGGATCATCTTTTGGGGGCAAAGATGGAAGCAGAGAATTCAGTTATGTGGCAACTGATAGCAGCAAGCCAGGTGCTCAGATCTTCAGGGAGATGGAGGCACCTGAGAGTAAGATGGATAACAACAGCAGCAGGGGATGGCAGGAGTGTGGTCTGAAGACATGGATGACATGTGCTTCCAATGAGCTGCGGGCTTTAAACATACAGTGATGTATGTTACACATTCTATTCTGCTTTATAGATTTTTAGTAGAATGTATACTATTTCATATAATACTGCACTGTTATATATTTTTATAAAATATCATGTGCTATAATATCTATATGGTTCGTATATCATGTATTTATCTATGTAGTGGGATGCATGGTAAGCATGAAATCAAAACAAAGCCAGTCTTAATATAAATATCACCTTGGTCATCAAAATTCCTAGAGAACCATCCCTGCCCCATAAGAAAGAAATTGTCATTACTAACCTAAAGGATAAAGTCCCTAAATTCTCCAGATAAACACATAATTTTTTCTTTTCTCTATTTGTTCCCTCTCTTTGCTTCACACTGAGTCTTCACTCTTCCCTCAGCATATTCCGTTTCACCTCTGACAGAAGTAGTTCCACATGTTCTCCGCCATACCTGCACAGACTCTTTCTGGTATTTTCTGTAGATATTTCAAATGACCGAGGACAGCAGTGGGTCAGAGAACTGTTCACTGGGACAGAGGGAGGTTTGAAAGAGAGGAAGGTGAGCTCTGTTGCTATCTAAGTGAAGGTATTCAACAGATAGTTGGGTGTTCAGAACTCTATGAAAATCATAGGCTGGAGAACTATTGCTTATACTTGGCAGTGTATCCATGGAGATAGATGAAAAAACCTAGGGAGAAGATGGAGAGCGAGAAGTCCAACAACAAGCACTTGAACCAGGAAGTCAGAGATTGGGGAAGACTAGAGCATTTGAAGAGGAGTTGCCAACAGCGCAACATCCAGCAGCATGGTCAAATGAGACGGGGTTGCTAGCCACAGGGGGGAAATCACTGGCAGCACTTGTCAGGCAGCTTACTAGAGAGGTGGAGGTGGGAGGCAGGGAGTGAAGGTAGCTGTTTCTGCTCATTCAGGGAGTTTGACTGTAAGAGAAAGAGAAACTAAAAGCAGGAGCACAGGGAAGTGTTTGAGGCAGGGTGGTGAGTCTGGCGGCCAAGTTAAGTGAGACTGGACACCACAGATTTAAAATGTCACCCGTCTAAACGATAGGTCATTTCCTCTGGGAGTGCTACGCCGCTCCCTTTGTAAGAAAGGATATGTAGACTGAAAGTAGAGTGTCCTCACAGGGAATTCTACAGAGACAAAGGCTTACGTGTATTGAGGTTGCTGACGTGGAATGATGAAGGTACATTTTACTGTTTTGTTGTCTTTGACGGCTGCTACCATGTGTGACTGTTTACATTTCAATTAAGATTTAAAAATTCAGTTTCTTTCCCCAGCTCCCTGCCCACACATTCCCTCAGAGGCTACAATGGCTGGTGGCTAGACGTTACCACATTGCTCACTGCAGAGAGAGGCATTTCTATCACTGCAAAGAGTTCTTATGCAAAACATTCCAGCAGGGGTCTAGATTAGGTAAAGTTGAGGTCTTGGTGGAGCTGAGGAACGAATGCAGAGTGAGAAAGAACAACACCTGCAGGAAGAGGAGGTTGTGAACAGAGAGGAGATTCTAGTGCTTGAGCTGCTCTGGGTGATAAGGTTTGGTGTTACGTCATGGGGGTGCGCTGCTGAAATAGTCTGAGGGTGAAAATATTTGGAAATGATTCCTCTATGATGAACTCATCAAATTTATGGTAAAAGTGAATGAGAAAGGAAGATCCTGCATCTAGTGCCGAAGTCCTCATAGAGCAAGGGGGTAGTAACTGACGATCTCCGCCTAACAAGAAGGAGAGAGGGCGATACCTCCACATGGGGAAGAAATTGCCCAAAGACCCTGTGAACTAGATAACACAAGCGGTGGCTGAAAGCCTAGTGGCTTTCTTTGGGTAGGGCCAGATTTTAATGAAGAACAACATTGGAGTAAGTATCTACTGAAGAGGAGGAGGAGGAGGAGGAGGAGTTTATTACAATGAATGAGGCTTCCAGAGGGCCTAGTAAAGCTTTGGTGGAAATTTAGTAAAAGAGGAAAAATTAATGAATATAAGTAAGCAGAGCAACATGAGGAATTAATGTGCAGCCATTAGGGTGATGGCCAGGGAAGACTGAAGTCTTAATGGGGTCAGAGACTCACATGGTTAGCAGACCGTGGATCAGATGTGGCATTCAAACAGTACATGGCAGAAAAGGTCCTTAAGTATCCTTGGAAACAAGCTCCTAATTAAGGAGATGTCCACCTAATTCTTGAGAGCCTATCTTCTGATAACATCACTTAAGCTGGTTACGGTTAGACCATTTCCCCCACCAAAGTTCTGGAGAAGAGAGAGATTCTCAATGTTTTTCACCAGTGGAGTCCTGGGGAGTCCAGTTGCTAGGGGATCTAAACTCTGGGGATGGTAACAGTGGAGGACTGAAGCCACTTGGAGAAAACAGACCTGAGTCAAATCTTCCCCATATGGTTAAGGGGATTAGCAGGGTGCCCCATGCCTAGCCCTGGGTGATATGAAAACCAGTGCCGGGTGAGAAAAGGCACAGTGTAAATTGTGAAATACTTTCAGTTCCACTCAACCGGGTTACAGAGTAGTTTCACCTCATGGGAATCAAAAAGTGTTTGAGGAGAGGTGGATGGAAATAAATTTGTCCCATCTAGAGGCAGAAGCAGAGCTCATCTACAGCAGCTTCTCGAACTGGAACTCGTGTTAAAATCTAGATCTGGACTCATGTGGTCTTGGATGAGGCCGGACCCTCCCATAGATGATGCCAATGGCCTTGGTCCACCAACAACGCTTTGCTGCTAATTGAAGAGAACAGTTAGATGGGTAGAAGAGAAAGCCCTTGTAATTTTTGAGAGAAAGAGCCTGGGGCAGAGAATTTGGACTTGTCTATGAGTGCAGTGAGTGAGTGGGAAGGAGAGAAGATACTGTAAGACTGCAGAGAAAAATCTGTAAATCAAGAAGATAGAAATCACCTCCAGGCCCAGAAGGCACAGTTGATAGCTTTGCAATAATGTAACATTGACTAATAGTTGGAAGGACATTCAGCTGTGTGTTTGGTTTCTCCATTAGATCATCCACTGTATGTCATATAGCAAATTAGGCCCAAACTAGAATGTATCTTCTCAGACACAGCACTCGGAGCTTGTACAGTAGGTGGCACTCTTGCATGATTATTAGGAGGTAAGCAAGCCTGTCGCACAAGGCCCGGGTTTGCCTTGTAAGGTAACTCCCAAATGCACTAAGGTTTTCTTAGGTTCCTTTGTCACTGTTCTAGGTACCCAGCTGATTTTCCCTCCTTCCTCCCTGCAGCATGGCATGCGTCCTATCCCTCATATGCTTTGCAGACTTCTAAGTGAGGGCAGTGTGGTAGGCAGCAGTTCAAACTCCCGGCACTCTCAGTGATGCCTGGTGCATCACCGCCAACCTCTTGATTACATGTGCACCCTGGGAAGTCTGCACATGTTCCATTTTGCCATGTGTCTGTCACTGTTATTTTTTGAATCTGTTCCCTATTTGAAGAAAAAAAAAAACACTGATCAGATCAATTAAATTTCTTCTCTCACTAAAACCACAAGAAATGAAACTCCTCTCATGTCTCTCATAAAGGCGCCTCTCCTTTTAGTCCTTTTAATGTCCACATCCCTTCACTGAAATCCTGAATAATGAGTCATTATTCAGAACCTACTCTGACTTTCTGCCTAAGGCACCGTCTAACTTAATATTAACTAAGAAACAGTGTTCTTGCTGCACTTCTCGTCCCCTACTACTTCATTTCTTTTTGGCCAAGTCTCAAGAATTTCTGTGACCCAGAAAAGAAACCTTGAGTCTATCACAGTCAAGGAGTAGGGGGGCTCAAATCCTTCCCACAAATGCCAGTATCCTTTCAAGGACCAAACCTTCCTCTAAACTCTCCTATCCTTTGCCCTGTGCATTGGACATTTCCAAGGGCAGCACATTTTGGCGACAGCAAGTCTGTGTTGCTTGGGGTTTCCCCAGGACTCCCAAAGCGCATCCTCACCTTCCAAGTTCTCCTTCTGGTCCCTGAAAGAACTTAGAGAGGTCACTGAAGAAAGAAGCCTTGGTTCACTGAGTCATACCCAAACTGTTTTCTGTCCTTAGGAGACCTGGCCATGGGAACAGCAGCCATGGGGGAAGGTCTATGAAAGGAACTACTTGAATTTCAAAGATGTTATTCAATGTGACCCCCAACTAATGAAGCATAATAAAAGGGGAGATAGGAGATAGCAAAATTATCACCACTAATAACAATCTTTTTGCCAGAGCAGACCAAGATGACAGGGTATGACAGGGAAGACTTTGGGGGAGACTGTAGCAGTTGTGGAGACTGTAGCAGCTACAGCGATGAACACCAATCCTCAGGTTGTAGGGAAGTGACAGGTGGGTAAGAGAATTGTCTAACTCTGCTGGGTTTCCTTGTCCTGGAATTTAAGTTCACAGATCCATAGTACTAGAAAGCCTCTTAGAACATTTCGTTCTCCCCTTCTTTAAACTGATGAGGAAAATAAGGTTTATAGAGGTTGCTATTTGCACGCTGCCATGCATTCAGTTAGCAGTGAAACAAGAACAAAAATCCTAATTTATAGATGTCCCGGATGGATGTGCAGTACCAAATCATAATAGTCCAGCTCTTTAGTGTTATTATTGATAAGACTGAGCATCTAGATACTGTATAAAGCTAAGTGGAATTGGTTTTTTTTTCTTCCCTCTTATCTCTCATTCCCTAATCCTCTCCTTTTGTTTTTTTAAGGTGCTGCCTACCTGAAGAGTGAAGCTTATTTCAATGAGACTGCAGAACTGCCATGCCAATTTTTAAACTCTCAAAATCTCAGCCTGAATGAGCTTGTTATATTTTGGCAGGACCAGAAAAAGTTAGTGCTCTATGAATTTTTTTTAGGGAAAGAAAACTTAAATAATGTGGACCCCAAGTATATGCACCGCACAAGTTTTGACCAGAGCAATTGGACTCTACGACTTCACAGAGCTCAAATCAAGGACAAGGGCATCTATCAATGTATCATCCATCATAAAAGCCCCACAGGACTGGTTTCCATCCACCAGAAGGATTCCGAGCTATCACTCTTTGGTATGTGGCCCAGGATGTGTCTAAATCTTTGGACTTCTCTTATGGGTCCATATATGAGTAGAGAAGCTTCGAGGACAGGAGTTTGAAGAGCCTGGGGTAAGGGGTACTACAATAAGCAGGCAGAAGACACTCATTTCTCAGAAGTCCATTTGAAGGGAGTACAAGGTCTGAGAGTAGGGAGTGAAGTCCTTTATACTTTTATAGTTTGCTTCTGATAAATCAGTAGGAGTTTTCTTTGGGGACAAAATAGAGCTAACTAAATGAAAGAATAGAGGTAAATTAATTTGCCCATTGCTAAGTTTTATAACCATCCCAGCCTCAAATTTTTACATTCATTTTCTCCTTCAGTCCAAGGTTTCTTACCCACTCAATCTGCTGTGCAGCTCTTAGCAAGGAGGAAATCTGACTGGTTTGGGTTTTTCCTTTAATCTTCTATAGGTTGTTTATGAATTGTTTGCTGCCCTAATCACGAGGCCAGTAGACAGAAGGGAAATAACCCAGCAAAGAAAACCCACAAACTGACAAACTAGCTCCTCTGTTCTACTGGGCCCTCCAAAACCTAAATGTCACTGAAGATTTTTTTCTTATCATCATACAATAAAGTTAATTTTTTGGTTTTAGTACATACTTTTATTAATTGTGTAGAAAATAGATTTATGTAACCACCACTATTTACAGGATATAGAATATAGGACATTTCTGTCACCCTAAAAAACTCCTTCATGACATCCCTTTGTAGTCATACTCTTGCTGTACCCGCAGTCTTTGCTTTGCAGCCTATAGTTTTGTCTTTTTGAGAATGCCATTTAAAGAGAACCCTACAACATGTGACCTTTAAATATTAGCTTCTTTTATTCAGCACAATGCCTTTGAGTCTTATCCAATATATTGCATACATCCAAAATATGTTCCTTTTGATTATTGAGTTGTATTCTCTTGCTTACGGATTCAATCCACTGAAAGAGATTGGGCAGTTTCGAAATTTGGGGCTGTTTGAAGAGAGCTACTCTACATTCTGCATAAGTTTTTGTGTTTAAGTTGGTATTTCTCCAGGGTGGATCCCGAGGCATAGTATTACAAGATCCAGATTAATTGTTAATGAAATTTAAAAAGGCAAATCAACACCTATTCTGAAACTACAGAGTAAAGCAGATGCAGAATTTCGTGTACAATGGAGAGCTGCTCATCTCAACATTTGTGGATTCAGACTAGGCTACAAGGACTCTTGAAACATTTAAACAAATGCTAAAACAGTGTTTCAGAGTGTACTGGAGAAACATGGCATATTTTAGGTAGGATACAAAAGAAGGATTTTTAAAAGGAATTTATATGTATATTAACAAGTATTAGAAGAACTATAACTCATTCAAACTGTGATTTCAAAGATATTGCTACCTAGGCTAGCTAAGCTCTGGGAATCTACCCTCTACAGATCATATAAAGCACAACCAGAGTGTTCAAATAGCATGTTGATACAGCAAAACTGGAAAAAATGAATGTAAATGACTTCCAGTTTAGAAACAATATACTAAATTATAAATTAGTATGTAAAACATGCCAACTACTTTATAGCTACAGAAGAGCAAAGGGTTTGGCTGGCAGATGGCCCATGTGTGAAGTCTGGGGCCTATGTGCCAGTGATTTCAACAGAAATTAAAACACAAATGGCAAACATAGGCAAGAGAATCACTGCACTTATCAAGAGCATGTACTTTCCCTAAAAATAACTGGATTGGCCTGCATCTTCTAATATGTGATGCAGACACCTGGACAGCTGTACCAAAAACCATTATTCTGAACTTCTAAATCCAACCCGCCTCAACTCACCACCATCCTGCTTGGGTTTCTGACCTGGTGCCATGAACTCTTTTGAGTCCTGGCAAGACTTTAGCTCAATTTTTTCTTTTTTTTGTTTTCTTAGTCTGGTAGGCTGAAATAAAACCTTTGAGGAACTTGGGTATATAGTCAGACCAACTTTCCTTCAAAAGATTCCACTCCCTGGAATAGTGGCTTAATTTTAAATCTTTGGTAAGCTAATTTTAGCTCTCCATCTATCACCCAAGAGCATAGTAGGCTTTGAAAAATAAGTGTAACATTATCATGTGACCCACACCATAGGCCCATTTTCTAGATAATCTGGAGTTCCCAGTGAACCCTAGTGAGCTCCTAGATTGAGTACTGATTTGCTGTTGTCTTGCAAATACACCTAAATATAGTCTGATTTTTGTATCTCTATTCTATGTCCAGCTAACTTCACTGAACCTGAAATAGTGCAGATGTCTAATGTAACAGGAAATTCTGGCATAAATTTAACCTGCTCATCGGAACAAGGTTATCCAAAAGCTACAAAGATGTATTTTTTGCTAAAATTTGAAAATTCAACTGAACTGGAGTATGATGGTGTCATACAGACATCGCAAGATAATGGTACAGAGCTGTACAACATTTCCATCAGCTCATACGTTCCATACCCTGATGGCATGAGTAATGTGACCATCTTCTGTGTCCTGAAAATGAAGGCAATGAAGTCAAGGGAATGGGAGTTTCTCTCCAAACCTTTCTATAGAGGTAAGGCTGCTTCCTAACACTATTTCTTTCATCAGGTATGGTATAAGACAAAATGTTCAGTGCAACCTGCTTGCTAGGACATCTTCTAACCAGCCATTTTATGATGCTTGTTGGATGGACCCAAATGGAAGGTTCCTTCTCTACCTGAATGATCTAGGGCCTAGGAGTCTATGAGACTGTACTGCACTTGAAAAATATGCTAGTAGCTCCTGAAACTGACCCAGGATTTTGGGGGTAACTTTGAATGGAGGATTCTGGAGTTTTGATCAGAAAACACAAGAATCTTCCTGTCTAGAATACTTGCATTGATTAAAACACAGACACACACACACACATGTGCGTGCATGCATGCACACACACACCATGCATACATGGGTGCATTCATGCAGTATTTATTAGAAGTACAGAAGCATTCTAGATACTGCTGGTTACAGGGGTAGAAACTAAAAGATATGACATCCCCTCTGTTCTTGAAGATCTTCCAGTAGAATCAGAACTTCATGCTGTGCACACATGGAAAACTAAATTTTAAAAAAAGATTGAATTAGAATCTAAATTACATTCTATGGAAATATGTGACTAAATTGAAAATAAATTTATATAAATTGACCATTTCTGTGGGCATTCAGAGGCAGGCAGTCTCTCCAAGGGTCAGGGAGGCCTTCCTAAGGGCAATCAAGCCTCATATCATAAGAGAGATTATTGGGCTTAATAAGAGTGGAGGGAATTCCAGATGATAGACTTTGATGTGTGCAGAGATTTCCTGCACAAAACAATTCTGAGACAGCTTCAGGGGTCAGCAGGCGAGAGGACCCCATTAATCAGCTGTATCTGACATAAGAGAGGGTGTAGCAAAGAAAGACTCAGAGGCAGAAATGATAATGGCAGGATGGGCTCTAGGAACCTACAAAGCTGCAGGAAACGGTTGAGACTAAGCAGGGCTCACTAACAGGAGGCTGACATTCTAAAATTTCAGCTCTGTCTCATGTATGTTTGAGATGCCACACTCAAAGAGCAGTAACTACAAGCTTCTCTCCTAGACACTGCAGCTGCAGTCCCTCCATTGCTGCTTTTCTGAGCCCAGACCCGCTGCCCCGCCCAGCTGCCTTCTGCTCACATTGGCCCCTTCTCCAGTCTTTGGCTTGTCCCCTCCAGTGGCGTCCATCTAGCCCATTGTTCCGTCCCCGTCTTTGCTGCTTCCTTGCTCCTGGCATCTGTCTTGGACATAATTTGGCCTACAGACATGCTCTCAGTAAGAGATCCTGAGGTGTAGCCCATAAGCCAGTTTTACAACAGCTTCCACACCCTCTCCTAATTTCCTTCAGTTTCGGGGAGCCCAGTAAATAGTGGGACAGCCTATCCTGTCCTGCCTGCTTCTTCTGCAGTCTCTCTTATCCTCTCCACATTCAGCACTTTCATTTAGCCACTAGAATCCCCATACCTGACATGTCTTGGGCACTCTGCAGGGCTCCTGCAGTTGCCACCACTGTAGCTTTATGGTGGCTCACTGTTCTGTTGCTTCTCATATGCTGCCAAAACCTCCCCAGGTAGCACTATCTTCAGAAACGTTTCAGCTCTAGCTGCTTTGGGAGATAGGGCTTGCCGCTCTGTATCCCTAGTCTGTGGCTTGAACAGAGATAAATTAGGTCACAAGCCAAACTAGAATCTTTGTGAGTGTCAAAAAATAGTAACTGCCACATTGCAAGTATAACCTTCCTTTACTGGGAATGTCCAACATTCTCTAGGAGGATAAACTAGGATGTATTCAAAAGGTATTGAATATACACACAATACCAGTAACTCCTCTTTACTGTCCCAGGAACAGGGAATATATCTCCGTATTGTAGCTAAAGGGAGATCAACTGATCCTACTTTTTTCCTGTAATTTGAGATTGACTGCCAGAATTATTCCCCACAATGTAAATAACATAAACAACTCAATTCTTCATCATGAAATCTACTTTCAACTTCCCAGGAATTTGGGGATTCCCATGCAAAGACATACATAGCTGCTGATCTCTGGGGAGCTAATTCTGACCCTGATTCCTCAGAATGTGAGGAAATATCGAAGATTTCTAGTAGTGGCACATGCAGAAAGCCATGATGAGGAAGTTCGCTATGGCCTCAGTGGAAAATAAGACCAAACAAAGCTAAACTGGAGAGGCGAGGCTGTGGTACAGGAGACTGTACCATTTGTCTAAGTGAGGGAGCCTTATTTATAGATGTTGGTGGATGGAGGAGCCATTACAAAGGAATCTTCAGGGTTTGGGAACTGACTGCACAGGCTGGGGTAGCAGGGCACTGTCCCGTTGATTGTATATTCAGAGGTTCGCTTAAATACTTTACTCGGATTCCAGTATCATGGCCAAGTTCACCCTCTCCTTGCAGATCCAGCTCAGTATCGTACCCCACTTGGGGAAGGAAGGCAGCCCATTCCAAGCATTTGGCCAGAGATACTGGCCTGATTCTTAGTTATCTACTGAAGCCCTGAGACTGGGACTTTCTGTGGTCTCCTGTGTGGATCTCAGGTTCCTCTGGAGCAAAAGCTGCTGAGGAAATAAAGAGAACAGCAGCAAATATGAAATGTTTGTAAGTGAATTTATGGCTGATTGAAAACTTGTCATTTTCAGTTCCTAGTCACCCTTTGCCTGTTGCACACCAGCCGTCCTGGATTACAGCTGCATCTCTAATCACTGGGATCTTCTTGTGTGGGATGACATACTTTCTATGGAAGAAGAAGAAGAAGCAACGGGCTGTCCTTTCTAACAAAGGTGATGAGTGAGTCTTTCTCCTCTCTGCAGATTGCCACTTTGAAATCACTTGCTCCAAATCAGCTGCCTTCTGGAGCTCATTGGCTGAGCTCAGACTAGGTTTTTCCTCAGGGCTTGGAGGCTACATTGGACTCAGCAGCTGATAATGCTGCCCTGGACTTCTAAGAAAGGTTTCATTTCCAATCTAAGTTCTACAAACATACTTCTGGTTTCTAGCTAAAGTTGATGATCGCTTGCTCTACCTACCCGCCTTCATGAAGTTATTGGGATGATTCAAGAAAGTAAAATTCTGGAAATATTTCTAAATGTTGGAGAATATGGACTTAGAGGTATTTCGACAGCAGTGTTTGCCAGATGACCACAAGACTTAGTTCTCATCTCTGAAGGTCTACATTTCCCGTGAAATGAGATAGATAAATTGTTCCCCATTAATTTAGAAACAATAATATTAATGTTTACTGATTACCAACTAGTGAATATCCACTATCAAAGATACCAAAAATTAAAGTCAATCATACTTTTACTGGTAAGAATAACATGATTTTGCAAACAATATTTTTGCTGTATATCTTCCAGATTTTTTCTGTCTATAAACATATGCTATTATCCATAATTGAGATAATATTATAAGGGCTCTTTTTCATAAGCTATATAATATCATATGACCTGTTTTCTAACTTTGACATACTCAAAATAGCAAGACAATTTTCAATGGCATAAATATCATTCTACAGCATCATTTTAAAGGGCTGCAAGATATTCCATTATGCAGATACACTTTAGTTTATTTACTTAACCAACCTTATATTTTGAACACTTTGGCTTTTCCAATAGTTTTGCTATTTAACAATCTGCATTTAACAATCTGCTTCTACTATGAAGATGTTTTAAGGAAGCCAAATTGGTCCCTGACCTTATGATACTTCTGTGCCTATTTGTGGCTTAGGTTGGTTTGGATAAGGGTCTAAGATAATATTTTACTTTATTTCAACAATTACCTCCCCTGGTAAATAGTTTGGTTACGCTAATAGTTATGATGACCTTATTCATTGTAGAAAACATAAGATGAATAATGCTTCTGGCCAGCATCTTATTTAAGATTTCAGTGTATTGGTTTTAAGATCTATTTAGAAAATAGATGGATGACATTACACTCATTCATTTCATCCTGCAGTACTTTAAAAAGAAGAAATTGGGGGAATAATTACCAAATTTTAATAAATTAATACAAAGCATATAACAAAGCCACTCAAACTGCAAAAGTATGGAGTGTACTGGGAGGTCTATGAAAAGAAGTGGAACACTCAGACACAGGGTCCAGTGTACAGATGTATATTGGGCATGCCCTGATGTGAGGTGAAACATTTTTTACTCATCAAAAGTGACTTTTCAAGAGAAGAGTTTGAAGCTTCTCTTTCAGTGCAACTGCCGCTTAAAATTAACATTATACAGAGGCAACTTTTGGCTTAGGAATAATCTATTTCTAAATTTGCTTTCACATAGGAATGATCAGCTTACAGTTAAAACAACAAGAAGGGTTGCAGCAAAAGAGAGTAAGAATGTTTCTTTTCCCAGGAAATTTATATTACCTAAGGGTGCTAATGTGTGTATATGTAGGACAGAGGTTGGAAGCTATGTTTGCACATATAAGGTGGTTATATTGGGCTATAGGCAAAAAAAAAAAAAAAACAAGAAAGAATAACAGATATATGAGCCCCCTAGTATGGATAAATAATACTGGTAAGAAAGAGTTGTATAGTTAGTTAAGTGTGCCGATGTGTTTGATCAAAGCAAAGAGCCTTCAGATCCCTGGAGGGAAGGACACATACCATGTATAACCAGCCTAGGTAAAAGTGTTTGTAAATCTTAGTTCTATAACTTTAGTATTGCCTCTCCTTGCTTTGTGGATAATTCTGGCATCAGCTATGTGACAAATAAGATGCTGACCCCCCAAAAAATTTCCACTTGCTGTAACCTAGAACCTATAGCACATTATCTGATGTGGTAAAAAGGCAATTTAGCCCCAACCTTGAGATAGTGAAGTTAGCCTGCATTATCCAGGCAGATCCAACTAATCATAATGAGCTACAGAGATTTACCTATGCAATTTAGAGAGATGAGCTGGAAGAGAGGGGAAGTTGTTGGCTTTGGACTTGGAGAATGACAGCCATAGTCAAGGAACGTGGATCACCTGTAGAAGCTGGAAATGACCCTTAACTAACATCCAGCCAGCAAAAAATGGTAATCTCAGTTCTACAAACATAAGGAATTGAATTCTGCCAGCAGGCAGATGCAGAAGCAGTTATGATCCATCTACAGAGACACAAGCTTATTGATAACCAGTCAGAATTTCTCCAAATATGGAACTTCCTCCTAATCTGACATTAATCCTTTTCTCAGAAGAGATAGCCCTCCAAGTAACTAACCTGTCATTAAAAGTCCTGTTCATAGTTTGTTCTTTAATAATAGTTTTTCTATGTCTTATCTATACATATTTACCTCATTTAGACCATTTAGATGAATAGAGAAGAAATGCCATAGTTATTCTACCTGGTTTCTAGTCTCTCTCTCTCTCTCTCTCTCTCTCTCTCCTCTTTCTTTGCTTCCTTCTTTCACTCCCTCCCTCTGTCAAACAGGGCAGATAAAGCATGAGAAATTCTGAGTGTTGAGTATTGTCTTTGACCAATGAACAGTTAGTTTATCTCTTTACCATTGTGACTTGTGTGACAGAAATCTGTATATAATAGTACTCAAGCAACCAAACAGTTTTTACAACTTGCTTGCCTAAACAATCAGTAATGATTTCTGACAGGCCAAGTGTCTTTTCCAAAAGAAATAATTTTAACCAACATTTAAACAGAAACTGTACAGAGTTTAAAAACTGAAAGTTAGTGATCTCATCACATTTGCCCTCCAAAATGCTAGATTTGTAATGAAATCCCAAAGTATAGAATCTGCCTTTTCATTGTCTGCTTTCATTTTTAAATGGGAACTTTATTTTTCTTGGAAATGGCACTGATTTTGCTATGGGTATGAAAGGATAATGTAACTATTTTGTGTTGGTCTACAGACATCTACAATACTGTATTCAGCTGTAAGTACCATTATTTTTAAGAGGAACTTTGGCAATAAAATCTAACCATATTTATAAGGTGTCTGGGAGCTCCATTAATAAGAAATATCTTAAGTGTTTTAGCTCCTTTTGTGTTGTTGTAACAAAACTCAGATTGTGTGCACTTCATAAGAAAAAGTTTATGTAGGCTTATGATTTTGGAGGCTGAAAAGTCCAGCACTTAAATCGTTCAGGAACAAACTATATCCAGTCCATAGCTTTAAGCAACTAAGGGTGCTTAACCTGAGAAAAAGTCTTAGAAGGACAGAAATTCTACATTCAGATATCTGCAGAGCTGCCACAGGATGTGAAGATCACACTTAGGGCTGCAGTTTAGCTGAATGATAAAGCATTTACCTAGCATGCATAAGAATTCAATTCCAAGCACCACCAAAAAAAAAAAAAAAATTCACACTTAAATATGTAGCTCCAGAGGGTGTATCTGAATGAAGGTTATGTGAAGGTATAGGGAAATAAGATACACTTTTCTAGCAATTAAAAGTCTTTAAATTGTGTGGAAGAAATAGACTTCTGCATTTTTCCTGGAAATATTAACTGCTACAAAAATTATCCTCCTTCCATAAACAACTATAAATTAGAAACATACTTGAAACAACTGTTATCAGACATTGGACAATGAACAGCAGAAAAATATAGTTTTAAGAAAAGGGAAAAGATGAGGTGTGAGCCTTATGATTGGCCACTTACTGTCTGGATCAGTGTCCATGCTGCTTTGCAGACAGGGGGAGATCATCTACCGAAATTAGAACAGAACACTAAAAACATCTCTTGTGAGCATATATGCCAAACTTCTTAACAAAATAGAAACTAACATCTAGCAGGATATTAAAGACATGCTACATCATGATCAAATACTGTTTACTCTAGGAACACAGGAAAGCTGAATATTTAAAACTTAAGCAATAAAATTCACTGTATTGAGACTGAAAGAAAACCATGAATATGTCAATGGATACTGAAAATGTACTACCCATTCATAATTTTAAAAAGGAAAGAAAAACTCTCACAAAGTAGGGATTCAAGGGGAATTCCTCAGTCTAAAAAAGAACAACTACCAAGATCCTTTCATTAGCATCATATTAGATGACAAAGACTTTCCACCTAAGATTGGGGAGCATGCAGATGTTGACACTCAGTACTTTTGTGTAACATTGTACTGGAGATCCCAGCCAGTGAAAGAAGACATTAAAAGGAATGAGGCATACAGACCGGAAAAGAAGAAAAACTATCTCTTTTTGACAGATAACAATCACGTTTGCAGAAAGGCCTATTAAATCTATTAAAAAGCGATTGGAACTAATAAACATGATAGTAAAGTCAGAGGATAAAAGGTCAATACCCAAAATCAAGAACAGCTCCATCCTTGTAGAGTAACAATAAACAACTGAGCGCTGAAAAAACTGTTTAAATGCCATTTACAGTAGCAGCAAATAATATTATAAGCTTGAGAATAAACTTATCAAGCAAATACAAGATCTACATACTAAAACCTACAAAACATTACTACTGATATAAGTTAAAGAAAAAAAATATATATATATAACACAGGGAGAGCTTATACACATACATATATGAGCTTATACACATATATATGCAATGTTCATGAATTAGAAAATATTATTAAGATATTGATTTTTTCCCAAATTGATCAAAATGATCCTACCTTGGCTACTTTTTCATCACTATGACAAAATATCCAACACCCACATTTAAGGGAGATTCTTTGAGGTCTCAGTTTATAGTTGGCTGGACGCAAGAGAGAAACTGCGTAGCAGAGGGCCATCACAGAGGAAGGACGCTCACGTCATGGTGGGCAGGAAGCAGAGAGCAAAGGGAGGAGCTAGGGAGGGAGAGACGCCCTTCTGGGCCATGTGCCTGGTGACCACCTCTTCTGAACAACCCGGCCTTCTAACAGCACATTCAGTATGTGCCTTCATGATCTGATCTCCTTCCATACAGATGAGAATTTTGGGAGACATTTCAGATCTAAACCATAACAAACCCCAATCAAAATCCTAGAAAGGCTTTGCAAAGAATTTAAAAAGCTGACTCTAAAAGGTATATGAAAATGCAAAGGACTTATAATTGCCAAAGCAATAATGAAAACTAAGAGCAAAAATGAAAGGTCTGTATTACCTAATTTCAAGAGCTACTAATTAGTTACAGTGATCAGGACAGAATGAGACTGATGAAAGTGTACACCAGTCAGTGCAGTAAAACAGGTTCACACATACATTCATACAGTACTAATTTTTAACAAATTTACCAAGGTAATCCCATGCAGAAAGAAAGGATAGTCTTTTCATCTGATGGTGTTGGGAGAATTAAATACGCACAGGTCTATAAAATAAAAAAAAGTGGATCATAAACATAAATATGACTAAAATTTAAAGACTTCTGAAAGAAAATATAAGAGAGAATCTCTATGGCCCTAGGTAGACAAATCTTAGATAACACTCAGAAAGGACAAACCATATTATAAAAAGGCAAAACTGATAAACTGGTCTTCACCAAAATGAAAAGCTTTTGCCATTTGATTTTGTTAATAAAACAGTAAATCAAACACAGTGGGAAAAAATGTAGATGTTCATAAAATATGTATCTGACAAAGAATATGTATCTAGAATATATAATTATTATTACTACTAATTAATAAAAAGACAATCCATAATTTAACAAAAGGATGTACTCATAAAATACTGCCAAGCGGTAGACGGATGGGCCACTGGTGATACTCAACATAGATAATTTCAGAAGCATTATACTAAGTGAAAGAAGCCAGGCACAAGAAAGCTACACATTATATGATCCTATTTATATGAAATTCAAGAAAAGGTAAAATTATTGTGACACTGAGCAGCTCAAAAGTTACTTGGGAATGTGATGGGGAAAACATTGATTAAAATGAGGCAGGAAAAATTGAGGGGGGCTTATTGAAATTTTCTCTCTCTTGACTAGGTTCTCTCTTTTAATTCAATAAAATGTTTGAATTTTATTGTTTAATGTTATACCTGTATAAAGACAATTATTCTCAAATATGCACACACATAAAGGAGAAATTCCAATGACAGGAAGCTTTTGAGAAGACATTGTTTAATAAAGACTGAATCACAAAAGTATCAGTGGTGATGGTGAGAGGATTCCTGTATCTGAGTTCTTTCATGAACTCCCAGGTTAACAGGCCCTCCTATGAGGCTCTGAGTGGGACAGTAGTACTGACATAACAGTCAAGTCTGTACAAATAGAAACTCAGGCTTTGGAAGATCTGGCTGGCTAGAGAGTTCCCACTTGGACCTGACCATGTAACGATGTGTAGTATTTAGTAGCACCATGTAGCTAATCCCTTTAGCCACTCATGTCTTCAGGATTACCTTTCTTCCCCTGCTAAGCCTTGCTTTCAGAAAAGGTTAGAAACACTTTTCTAATCACTAAGTGCTAAAATTAAATATGTTACCCCTCCTACTGGGTATTCTCATTTGCAAACATGGAGCTGTGAGTGAAAAAAAAAAAAATCTGTGTCCAACAGTAGATCTTATGACGCAGTAAGCAAGTGAAGATTTTTCCTTTTTGGATGCAAAGAACTTCTTCCCAGACCCCCTGAAATTGCATGGCTGGAGTAACCATCTCTTCCATGTGTAAGGTCATGGCAGTTTCTGAGTACCAGGACTTAGAAGCCTCTTCAAACTCCCCTCCCCTCTCCCCTTTTCATATCTCAGAGGAATACAGTTTTTGAGGATGTTCTGATCTCTTTCAGAAACCACCAGAATGGAGAAGGAGAAGAATGAAGGGATTGAAGAAAGGTGAGGCCTGACCCTGCAATGTTGTTGAAAGAGCTTTACTTCCCATAATGTCTGAAGTCTCATTGGCTTGCATCTGAGACATGCTGAGACCATAGCAAGCACGAGCTAGTGGGAGGGAGCAGAAAAGGAAATGCTGTAATTAAGACCTGAAGGGAAGTAACCCATCCATAGATGCACTGAAGTCGTGGCTAAGTAAAAATCCATACACAAGCTTCGAAGGTGGTGGGCCTGGGCTGCCTCTTGTACATCATGGTGACTCAGTACCCAGCTCAGTGCCTGGGCTAGTGGGCACCTACAGATATAGAATAAATATACAAAGAGGTGAGGAGTGGAAACATGTTTCCTTCAGCCTTAGTGCCTTTGCATCTGCTCTACTGGGAAGGTTTTTCTGCTATTTCTCCACTTCATTCTTCTTGTCTTGCTTAAAGTAGCACTTTCTTAAAAAAAAAAAAAAAAACTCTTCCCCAAAGTAGTTAGTGCCCACCTTTTACAGTGTTCTGTGGATCCTTGAGTTTTGAGTTTTTTCTTTATAACAGATTGTATTTGCATATTTATGAAATTGTCTTATTAAGCTCCATTATGTAAACTAAACTCTGGGGAGAGTGAAGACCATATCAGCTGAGCTCATCACTGTGCTCTGAGTGCCTGGCATAGTGTCTGGCATACAGTAGGTGCTCAATAAACATTTGTTGAGAGAATAAATGTATACATAAAAGAACAGATGGAAGTTCTGGATGACTGGTCAAGCTGTCTGGCCTCCATCCCTTTTGAGGAGCAAGGCTCTCAAGAATATTAGGGCTCTGGGGGCTAATGGGTCAAAGCAGCCCTCAGTCAAAAGCTGGTTGCACAGAAAGGGTCATGACTTCAAGGTGAAGAGGCCAGCACAGTGCCCAGCACTTATCTGGATTCTCCTGCCACTGTGATTCTAGCAGCAGAAAGAGTTGCAGGCATGAGGGAATGAGGTGCTGAGTTCCTGCCAGTTCTGTCAGACTCTGTTCATAAATGGTCTGCAGGAATCAGCACAGGGCCAGACAGAATACGGAGTAGCTGTTGGAGGAAGCATGGGTGACAGTATAGACTGAGATTCTTTCCTCCTGTCTTCTCCACCTCTCTCATCAATAACCTCTTTCTATTCATTGGTAGTACAGTGGCGTCCTATCTTGAAATCTAGAAAGGGAAAGAGACTCTACAGTTAAATCTCAACCAATTCTTCTTTTCTGTTTTTCCAGAGTGAAAATCCATGTACCTGAAAGCAATGATAAAGAAGTGCAATATACCTGAAAGAAATGATAAAGAAGTTGTTCAGCCTTAGTCATCGAAAATGCTACACGATTTTAATTAAAGAAAAAAATTTCCTATGAGTATCCATTTTTATATCATTTCCTTCACAAGTTTTTAAGCAAACTTTTGGGGTTCTCTCAAAAGCCAAGCAAATATTACTTTTAGTAAAAGTAAGGACTTCAGGACTCCCTGTAAGCGAAGGAACCTCCCTAGTACAGACTTTAATTCTCTAACTGCTTCATTTGATTTCAGAACACACTCGTGAGCCACCTGAATGGATCTTCACTTGGGAATAATATTTAGGACTGACATGTCCTGCTTCAGACCAGATCCCTCTCTTTTAGTTTACACAATGTGTTTTTATATGGAACTTTTAGTTCTAGGGGTACTGGTTTTTATCTGCCTTGAACTTTAAGGTAGTGTCCTGTTTCATGTTATGTGCCTGGGACTGAACAACAACCTCTTTGGTTGCAGTAGGAAAACATGTTTTACAATTTTATAGTGTTTACAGTGATATCTGAAACTATAAATAAATATATACTAAACAGCAAAAAAGATATAACCAGTCAACTCTGAATGGAAAAGAGACTGGATTAAAAAAATAAAAAGAAGGAAAGAAGGAAGAAGAAATACTCTTAGGATTTACTCATGCTTTTTATTTTTTATGCTCTTTCAGGTAGTAGATAGTTAAGATTATGTAAAGTTGTATTATAAATGTCATGAATTGTGCATAAATGCAAACCTTCAGAATACACTCAAGATAATGAAAACACACCAAAAAGATTTTAATGCATAGTGTAATATTACAACAGTCTAACCATGAAGTATTTATCAAGTCAACAAAAGCCTAATCTGTTAAAAGAAGAAAAATGATTTGTAAAAAAAAAAAAAAATGTATACTGTGCTAATGTAGTTACTGTGCTATAAAGAAAGGGGCTGGGGATTTAGCTCAGCGGCAAAGGCGCCTGCCTGGCAAGCGCAAGGTCATGAGTTCGGTTCCCGGTACCGGAGAAAAACCAAAAAAAAAAAAAAAAAAAAAAAAAAACCTACCCCTTCCAAGGAATGCTTGTCCCTCTTTCGGGGTCAGTAAAGAGTATGGTGGCCTGGTTACTTATCGTACAGGAGACAGTGAGCAGAATAGCCTACCTCTGCGGAATCAGGAGCGGGAGATGGAACCAGCTCTGGACCCCAGAGCCACTTCTACTGGAGCTGTTGATGACTGGGAAGGTGAACCTAGCAAGGCTTGTTGGAGAGCATGAAAGAAAGCAGAAAATCATGGTCACTTTTGAGTTCCAGCTTTCCTCTTGATAAAAATGACTGAGGCAATTGTGGTGATGATCAACTGTGCCACAGCCCATCAGCTAATCCTTAAAGTCTGGGCTCTGGGCCTCTGTGGGGAGGCCAGTGTGAACCCCTGTATCAGAGCATGCCCCTCCCAGTTACCTAAACTGGAGTCCTTTCCTAGCTTCCCTCTAACTTTCCAATTAAAGCTTTTTTCCTATAAATTTGTGCTTTAGTTTTAATTTCCATTTCTACTAAAGCAGAGACCCATGTTAGCTGGGGACAGATTGAGTGCCTAAACATGGCGCTCTTCCAGAGTTTGTCTGACTCTGGTCCCTGTGGACCGGTGGGTCCCAGCAGGGAAATCAGCCCCGCAGTTAGTCTGCTAATGCTCTTTCCCTTCTCCTGATCCCTCCATGTTAAATTCTCTTGGGACACCAGGGAATCTGTCGAGATTTTTACGGATTGGGAATTACAGGCCAAGGTTGGTTGTACTGCTTCATTGCTAGTTGTCTTGGTCATTGGTCTAACATTTGAGAGGCACTGGTTTTTTCCTAAAGTTCCCTGGATTGGAGACAGATGTTTCATTGGGCAAGGCATCTAAATATCTCTGATTTTCTCTCTAGCTGCTGTCTGCTCATGTCCACCTCTATACTCACACTTCTTGGACAGGGAGCCAACCCTCTCTTCTGATGATTCATAACTTCCTTCCCTTGGGTGGTGTTGTCTGCCACTATCTGGGGGAAACCAGATCCTAAGGTTCATGGGAAAATCTCCTACTCCTTTTCCTTTTCACTCAGAGACAGTAAAGGTACCCCCACTCTTTTACTCTGGTTAGAAGTCCAGTCCCTTAACCCGGTGTGGTGGGGCCTCAATCCCAGTACTTAGGGGTCTGAGGCAGGAGGATTGCCTCGGCTCCATAGCAGGACGCTGTTTCAGAAAACAGAAAAATCTAGTAGTTCCTCAGCCTGTGCCATCAGGCTGATTTTAGGAGGTGGGTTTAGTACAGTCATCGCTGAGCTTTTGGGAACTTCTACACATGACACCCTCTTCAGGTCCATCCCAAACTCCAACCCCTATCTTTGTCAACTCTAGAGCTTTGTCAGCCCCTCAAGGACAGATCTGGAAACTCTCTGTGCTTTCCAGCTTGTTATGCTCATTAAATTTCTTTCCTGTCTTTTATCACTGCTAATCTCCTTAAGAAGCTTATGGGACAAGTGGCAGAGCCTGAGCTTTTGAGACTGTGAGAGCTGAAGCTTTTGCCTAACTTTCGGAAACAAACCTTTAAGTTGTACCTGGAGAAAGCACACTGTTAGGCATTAACCTTTCAAGCTAGCCTAGACTCCAGATGAGGAGGAGGACTTGGATGGTCCCATGTGGCTGCTGAACTTACTTTTAATCAAAGACATTTTCTTTCCACTTTGGTCGATATTAGTTGTTTTCTACTATTATTTAGTAGAACAGACCAATAAATCCTAAAATTTGACAAGCCCTCAGATTCAGACCCCTGGTAACTCCCTTTCTGACCTTAGACTTTGCTGTCTCTTCTTTCTCATTTGAGTTCTTTTGGCATACAGAGCTTTGTAAGTTTGGATTTGACAAAGAAATTTGCCTTGTCAAATGGGTTGTCTTTGAGCACTTTGAAGGCTTCTGGACTTAGGTCATCTGGTTTGGAGAGGGGAATTTGCCTTGTTATTGGAGCTCTTTTGGCCTTCTGTAGTGGCACCTACACACAGGGAGGACAGGTGGAAACCTTGCTGCTGGCTGGGAGAAATCAAAGGGAACACAAACTGGGCCACCATGAGACTGGTTGGATCACCCAGAGTATCCAGGCTGATTGACTGCATCACTCTAGTCCTCAAGGTAAATACTCTGGTGTGGCTTGGCCCATGTGGAAAAAAAGAAGTTAAGAAACCAGGTTGTAAGAGAGATCTCTATTGAAGTTTATGTCTGTACCAACAGTACCCCCTAGGGAACATTCTAGATAACTTTTCTAAATTATAGTTATAACCTATGATTAGAAAAGAGACTTAGTATTGTAATACCATATGACCAATACATCTAAAAGTGTACTCTGATTTAATGTAATTGTTTTATGTGGTCTGTATGTCTTCTTATCTGTCTATTAATCTGTGTTTGTGATGATTATTAATATAATTTTCTCATGTGTTCTTTGTTTCTTAAGCTGTGTTTATGCTAACTGACTTGATAAAGGCTAAAAATCTGATAGGTACAGCAACAGTCCCATCAACTTATCTACACAAGGGTCTCCAAGATTTGGAAGAAAAGAGACAAACACTCGCCTCTAGCCCATTTGTGTGGCCCTAAGTGATGCAGGCTTTAAAGGAGGTATCAGGGGTGAATGATCACAGGATGTGCAGCATGCTCACAGGGAACCATTTGAGAAGAATACATCTCGTTTTTGGGTTAGATGGAACTCTAGTACCTCATCCAAAAGGTCCAAATGAGGGGATGGTTGCCCTGCATCTTGAGCTAATCCAAACCTGTTGGCATTTGGGGCTTTCTGGGACAGATAATAGGGAATATTCAGCTCATAGGTGACACTCTGGGAAGGATTGTCCACAAGCAGCTCTCTGTGACCCAAAGCATGTCCCTAACATGGACTCCTGAGACAGCCAACCGACAAGTCTCTAACAAGTTGTCTTCTAAGAACAGTGTTGGGCATGACTTAATTCAAAATTCAGCATGGTAAACTGCTCCAAAATTCCTAAAGTAACTATCACAGCTGCTCCACTTTTATATTTTAGCTCATTTCTTTTCCCTGTTGGTTCTGTGCACAGGTTTTTGTTTTGTTTTGTTTTTGTTTTCTTAAATCTGATTTGTTTCTCTTTTGTCTTTACTGAAAAATGAATTGTTCAAGGTGGCTCGCTGGTTTAGATAGCCATAACTAAAATGCAAGGATTAAAGCTTGGATTAAAAGGGAAAAATGTAAAAGGAGACCTCTTTAAAACCCAACAATTGCTAAAGCTGGTAAAATATGTTTTACCTAGATTGTTAGCCAACTAGTATAATGTTTATCTTTGTTAAAACTTAAGATACAGTGTTCATTGCTTTCTGTACTTCAAATGCAGTGGCTTTTAGGCTTTCCTTTGGCAAAGAAATAATGTTAATTATGTTGTGCTGATATCTTGGTTTTTATAGGTAAATCAAATATGGATGGTATAAATGCTTGTAAGTTTTTACAATAGAACTTCTAAGTATACACGGGTCTATTAAATGTGTTTTCATAACTTGTATAAAGTAAAGGGTATAGTATTGTTTTTTCTTTGGTTTTTCATTCAGTGTGAGTTTATTAAAAGTTAAGTTCTAAAAAAAAAAGTTAAGTTCTAATGTGTAATTATATAAATAAGGGGAGTTATGTTTCTATTTAAAAAGAATATATTTTCTTATTAAGAAAAAGAGAAATTTTCCCAGATCCATAAATTTTGTAAAGTTTATTTTAAAGGTAAATTTAAAGGTGGAATGAAATCCGTAAATAGCAAAGGGAGATGTAGTGAAAAGTATGTATAAGAGAATATTTTTTTGAAAGAAAAGATCTCATATAGTGAGATTTTTGTCCTACAAAATGGAAAAAGGAAGATGAGAATGAAAACAGAACGTTAATATAAACTGCAGGGGCTGGGGATTTAGCTCAGCGGCAAAAGCGCCTGCCTGGCAAGCGCAAGGTCGTGAGTTCGGTTCCCGGTACCGGAGAAAAACCAAAAAAAAAAAAAAACTGCAAAAGGTTTGTTGAGGTCTGAAATTGATAAGAGGAAATTTGTATGCATGATAAAGTGGGCTGTAATTTCAAAGAGTATTTAAAGAGTTTTTAACCCAGTTTATAACATTAATGTGAAAAACATTTTATTTCTAAAACAACTATGTTTTCTTAAAATGTTAACTTACTCTTGCTAAAAATTTGCAAAAGCTGGCTAAGAAACAAAGGTTTGTGTTTTATCAAAATAATGTCTTCTGTTTTCTATTAGGCTGTTGATTACCAAGTGAGCTGAGTATTAACAGAATTAAAGTTTTATTTTTGACATTGTATATATCCAAGATAGATAGGTGTACTCCAGTGACTAAATCTGCTGTATGAATCTCCAAAGTTTGTAAAACTAAAGATGTATAAATTTGATACATGCACATTAATCAGTAAGTGCTCTTTTTTATACATATGCATTGTATCTGGACTTAAAATATATAAAATGGTCAGTAAAACTTGACATTTTGCTGTTATTCAGTACTATTCAGGTGAGGAAACAACCTGCCTTTTGGATAATTCTGCCATTTAAAATATAGTCTACATCTATTGACTTTAACTAAATAAACCTTTTGTTGTGTAAATGAGATGCACTTGTACATTAGATACTGTATGATTTCTTAAGCTTGTAAGAATCTAATGCCAGTCTCTGGTTTTCTTTTTGTTTGCTTTTGTTTGTTTTTAATCAGTACTGTTAAACTTTGTAGATATGTTAAATACAAAAATGACATGATTAAATCTATTCAATTGAGCCATGGATTATAAATTTCACTTCAAAAGTGAAAAGCTAAGTTGATATGTAAACATTTTTTATGTAACTGTGATACTAATTACCATTGACTTCTTTGTACA